TAATAAAGAGCAGGGAAAGGCAGTGTGTTCTAACCATTTAGGGAAAACTGGGCAAGATGTTACTAATAAGCCATGCTATATTTTCATCCTGACATTTTCTTCATCTAAAGGAATATGGAGATGAGCTTTTAAATTCTGGATGATTACCTGACAGCTTCCATCTCTAGGGCAAATTATTAGCAAGGGTATCATTTTGCTATTGCCTTTACTAAAAGCTCAGAGGACACAGGCTTACCAGAGCCCAGATGGGAAAGTTAGATCTCTAGGCAAGAGGCAAGCGAACAGAATTGTGCAACCCAGCTACTTCTTGATGCCCTTTTGCAACATTTTCAGACACAGTATTAACTTTCCATTGCTGCAACAAATTATCAGAGATGAATCAACTTGGAAAGAAGAAAGGTTTATTTTGGCTCACAGTTTCAGAGCTTTCATTCTTTGGTCACTTGGTCTTGTTGCTTTTGGCCTGTGGCAGCCCAGGACACCACGGCAGGAGCGCATGGCTGTTCCTCTCATGGTGGCCAGAAAGCAAAGAGAGAGGAAGGGGCTGGGGTCCCAATAGCCCCTTCAAGGGCACTCCCAGTGACCTAATTTCCTCCACTAGGCCCCACCTCTTAAAGGTTCCTCTACCTCCAATAGCCCTGCAGGGGGGACCAAGCCTTCAACCTATGGCCTTGGAGGCCACTTCCCCAAACCACAGCAGAACCAACCTTCTTGTCAGTGGGGCTGGGAGCAGGGGTTGGAGGGCCTATGACCCCTTTCTGGATAAGCTCCCAACCTAAATTCTCAGCCTATTCTCCTCCTATTCTCCCCTCCCCTTCCAATTTCAGTTATGCCAAGCCACCCCTGGCTCGCAGCTGCCCAGTGTGCTGGACACTCTCCTTCCACACCCCTCCTACCTGGCACACTCGGACCCATCTTCCAGACTCTTCTCCAACATGACTTTCTTTCAAACCCAAAGCAGAGCATCTTCTGCTCTTGGGTGTTACCCAGGACCTGCTTTGAGTATGGGACTGAGAGCCTGGAAAGGTTACTGGGCAGGCTGAAGTCCACTTGGTGTTCCAGAGAGGGTGAGGACTTCATCTCAGACACCCGGATCCCCGACCTGGGTTTCTCAACCGCAGCCATGTCGACATGTTGGGTCAGGAAATTCTTGCTGTGGGGGATTACCCTGTGCTTTGAAGAATGTTTGGCAGTGTCCCTGCGGTACCCACACAATGCCAGCAGCATCCATGCCATACCTCCAACTTGACAATTGACAAAGGTCCCCAGACATGCTTAGTGCCTCCCAGGGGACAATAATGCCCTGGTTGAGAACCCCTGCTCTCATCACAGATCCTCAGGGATTTTGGGTGTTTGATGACTATTTGATGAATTAACAAATCAATGCCCAAATTAATGAATCAATGCATTACACGAATAAAGAACTTAATATAAACAAACATCCAACAACAACACAACAGAAAATCCACACTGTCTTATTATAGCTTTCTACACTCATCAAATCAATCTTGAAATCTGTATTGCAGCAGGCAGGCTTCTTTATGAATTGGCTGTGTCTTCTTCCAACTTGGGCTTGTTTGCTTTGCTCTTGAGCTAGGGGTTCTTCCACTTTCTCATGCTTTGTTTTCCTTTCTGTCAATCAAATTCTGTGCTTATGTCAAGACAAACTGGCCTCCTTCAAAAGACATCCCCCAGTTTGCTTGTATCTGTTCACACAATGATGCACACATGCATGCTGGTTTTGGTCTTGGTACTATTATTATTTCTTTCCACAAACATGCACAGGTATTCTTCTTGACTAGAATAGCTCCTTGAGAGGACCCACCCTTGAAGTTTTTTCTGCCCTTTAGCGCTACTGCGAGCTTTATAAACAACAGATGTTTAGCTTTTGCTTGAAGAGTATTTTTTTTTTCTTTAAGCAACAGGTAGGTGTGCAAATCTGCAATTTGTGTGGTTGTGATGTTATTTTGTTTTTAAGAGGCAAAGGGCTAATGCTTTACAAATGTGAACAAAAGTATTTATGAATGTTATAAGATTTCCACGAGAAGGCATTCAATAGACAAGCAACAATGAAGACAGAAATGGCTGCCTTCTGTCTTAAATTCTGATAGTTCAAACGCCACCCAGGATCTTTCTTCATTGCTTGGCACAACTATTAGAACCTCCAGCTGTCCTCGTTTATTCTGCACTCTGTAAACCGGTGAGCACGCCTTGCATCCTCCTCCAGGCAGGCAAGCAGGGGCTCAACCTTCATGTACTTCCAGTGCTTGTGTCTGGAAATTTCTGCAGCCTCCTGTTCCACAGAGCACTTCTCTCTCTCTCTTTTCCCTGGCAGTGTTCATGTTTATCCACATGTGTCTCCCACAAGGCGTCTGATCCTCGGAGTTCAACGCCATTTAAGGGGACTATTCTCAGAATTTCCCAGCAGGGCACTGAGCTCACCATCTTGTGACAGAGAGCAGATGCTGGAACAGGCTGGGGTGGGGAAACATTTCGAGCTCCATGCTAAGGTTTGCCACCTTTAACAGGGAGATGAAAGATGCCTTTGTGCAGGTCCTGCAAGCTCTGTGTTTGGAGATGAGCCTCTTGAGGCTTCAGCCTCTAGTGTCTCAGAGCTTGGGGCCCTCCAGTCCTTCCTCTGTTGAACCCCTGCCCACCCTCTCCTCCACACCCAGCTGTGCTTTCCCATTTAAAATACAAAACCAAGCACTTCTCCTGGCCCTGTCCCCTCTGGGTGCCACCTTCTGCATCTGTCGCCTCCACACCCTTCCCTCCATTCACACTTGGCTGGCGGCCATCTGAACCCCTCATTCTGAGGATGCTCCCACATGCTGGGACCCAGGCCCTGCAGTGTTGCCACATTTTATGGCTTCTCGGCACCCCGACTCCCTGAGCCTTCGACAGTCCTTGATGTAGCCAACCTGCTTCTTCCATACTGTCTGAGCCTGACTTAGCTTCCTGTCTCTTGAATCGTCCCTCTGAATCTCTTCTCCCTCAAATACCTTCAGTCTCGCCTCCACTGGAGACAGGTCACTTCAGGATCCATCTCCAGCTTTACCCTTGTCCCCTTGAAGTCTCCCCCTGGAACCTTCTAATACTGTCACATCTTCACGTGTCTATTCAGTGCCATGGCCACCAGCCATGCCCCTGCCTTTGCCCACTTCTAAGTTCCAGCCCAGGTTTCTGACTCCAGACATGCCCACGACCACGTCCAAACCCCAGTGCAGCTTTCTTTCCTCTCCCATGACTTGCTCCCCTATTGCTCCCTCTGCTCAAGACTCTATTCCAAAGATGGAAACAGAATTCTTATGTGACTCACCTGTTGCAGATTGCTGATTGCACTTCTGACATCTTGACCCTTATTTTTCCCTACATTTTTTATTGGTGCATTAGTTGTAGTAATGGTGGGATTCATTGTTACGTATTCATCCATGCACACAAAATAACAATACACTTCGGCCAATAGCATTGACTTTCTTTTCACATTGGGGATCATCAGGATGGCGTTCTCTGCCTCTCTTCTCTCCTTCCTCTTGTCTATACCATGTGCTGGAAGTTCTCTGTGCAAGAATTGCTGTTCTACAAGCTCCTTGTTCTGAAGGCATTGAAGAGCCAAGTCCAAATCAAACTAGAAATCCAAGGTTCCCTTCCACTGTGACTCGGCTGCATATCCTCCAATGTAGGGGACTGTCCACCCCACCAGACTGCACTCGAGTCACGTGAGACACTCATTCTTCTCCAACTGAAAATCAAGACCTTGCTCCAAGGTCCTCTGGAAGCACCCTTATCCTTGGCCCCTGGGCCTCCACGGTGCTTGCCTTAGAGTTCCAAGTGGCACCTCTTCATATGGTGGTTTTTATGTTATTTGCTCCAAGTGCCCATGGCCTAATGGGCTGTGAGTGACGTGATCTATTTGTTGACCTGTCATCCATCCATCTCCTACCCACTGACCTGCTTACCCATCCTTCTGTCATTTAGTAAACCTGGCTAGTATTTTGAGACTGCCATGCCTAAGGTCTCCACTGGTGCTAATATTCTAGAAGTCTGAACATTATTTAGTTTCTATACAGAGAGACAAGCAGGCTTAGTGTATAACATGGGCACCTGTTGATCAGATCTTTTTTGGGTGTGTGGTACTGCAGATTGGACCCACGCCTTTGTGTGCCTGTGAGGCAAGCATGCTACCAGCTGAGCTATAGTCCCAGTCCCCCTCATTCATATCCTGAGGTCTTAAAATTTCCAGGTTGGGACCTACTACTCCCATGCCTTAGGCAATAATAAATTCTGTGTGTGTTTTTCCTGTTTTAAAAAATTTCTAACTCAATAATACTCGGCACTTAGTAGGTTCTCAATAAATGTGTGAAATGAATAAATGAGTTAATTCCTAGAATCTGACAGAAGACTGACTTAGTATAGGTATAGTAGAAAACAAATCTCCCTGCCTCCCAGCTTTCCTAAGTTATCAGTTACACACACAGTGCCACATTCTCTGTTCCACAGAGCATTTCCTAAAACAGATGAGCACACAGTGGTGCGTGGGGGGCGTCAGGGCCCAGCAGAGCAGACTAGCAGTCATGAAGGACTCTGCAGCTGAGACTTGTCCCTGCTGGGGCCCAGACCCCCCAGAAGGCCCCACCCCAGCGGTGTCAGCTTTCACTCCTTTCCCCTCTCACCCTCCCTCCCCTCTCACCACTCCCTCCCCTTTCACCACTCCCTCCCCTCTCACCCTCCCTCCCCTCTCACCACTCCCTTCCAGGCCTTTGCCCAATTTTTACTTTTCATCTCCTTGTGTGCATTATAAATTTTTTACCCACTATCGATTCTAGCCCAAAAGCACAGGTGAGAGAATAACTAAGTGGAGTAGTCTCAGAGCAAATGTCCTAACCATTTTCAAATCTTCCATGTAGAACCAAATTACATACCAACTTCGATGTTATCGCTCATTTCTTTTTAACTGAATAAAAATGGCTTAAATGACAATAACTAGGATGATAACTGTATTTGCTTTAAATTCTTTATTATCCTGAATATAAAAGACAGAAGTCCTCTAGGATATAACAGAGTTCTTTATGTGGAAACATTATTTTTTTACAAGTGAAAAAATAAATACCTCTTGGAATAAAGGCTTATAATGCTAATATGTGCCATAAAAAAGTAGAGTTTTAATATTTGACAAAACGTCTGTGCAAAGAAACAAATGCATAAACACATTACTGCTACATTAAGGCAATATGAAAAGTATACTCAGAAATATCAGTAAAGTGACAGTGTAGTTCCTAGCTTTAACTCAGCTAGTATTGCACCCGATAAGGTCACGTAGGTTTCCTGACATCCTTGAAAACCTGCTAACTAACCAGCTTCCAAAATGCCCAGTGGGAGTGAAAAATATGTCTAAGAATAGAGAAACCAAAGAACCCCATGGCGGGATCCACCCAAAGAAGATCTAAACACTTACTTAAAAAGCACATACGCAAACCCAAAAAAAAACAACCCAATAAAACAAAACAAAACCCCGCTAAACCACACAACAAGGAGGAGGCAGTATCTAGAAATGTATGATAAGGCTGAGGACCTCAGATCATTCAAGCACAGCAACACCCATGGGTGAAGCTGGCGGCGAGGGACCAGGAGTGAAGACAGGACCTCGCAGGTGCCGGGGCGTGGCGTGGCGTGGGTGAGCGAGGCTTCCCCGTCCAGGAAAGCGCTCTCCCTTTCCAATCTTAAAATGTCCCACCAATCCAAAGCCCAAGGAGTGCTTGACTGTGCCAGAGACCCTTCAACCAAACTGGCAGCATCTGATCCCCAAAGGCCTGGGCACAGCGGGCAGGGAAGGGAAAGAACGGAGCTGCTCCCGGCTGTCTGTTGCCGGTCCCATTGAAACCTGCACTTCGGCTGCCAAACTGTCCGGAGTCACGGGATGGACTCTGAGACCTGCCTGCATCCAGTCATTCTTGAACAAGTTATAAAAACAAAAATGACATATAATGACAACTATTTAAGAAAAATGTTCCTATTAAGAATGTTCCGCTCTCCATGACCTTACAAAAAGAACCAAGTAAATTCGTGAAACTAATTCTGACAAAGCCTGCCGCAGGTGGGAGCCTCCCTCAGGATGCACCGCGGAGACTTAGGAGGTCATTTGTACCCACTTCTTGGCTACGCTGCCACTTAACTGACACAGAAGACCTTACCTATTCCTTTACTTGATCATAAAAAAACGCAAGACAAGGAATGTGTCACGTTCCAGAGTCTTCCAGGCCCCCACCCCGGGGGTGTTGGTTCTGCACACAGATGTGATTTTGGAGTGAGAACTTGTGTTCCGGTTTTTCTTCTTTTTTCTTTGTTTTTTCAATGCGGCATGGCAGATGGGTGGTTGGGAGTGGGGTTCTCTCCACAGTTGTCCTTCTTATAGTTTACAATAGTGCAGTTCGTGGAAATATGGCATGTCGATGGACGCAGGACAGGCTAGATGACAGTGAGGTTGAGGAGGCTGGTGTGCGTGGGCAGGTAGACGTGCTGCACGTGCTCCACGCGGGACCTGCAGACTGGGCACGACTGGAGAGAGAAGCCAAGAGCACTGGTTAGACACCTCTGCAGGGCCTGGGTGCCCGCCCTGGACCTGCTGCCTGGAGTGCTCTAAGTGAGTTGTGACCACAGTGACCTCTGAGCCTTCAACTGCAGAGGTCTTCCAGCTAAACTCTACACGGGCACACTGAGCCAAGGGTGTGGCCCCTCCAAGAGTAGAGGATGACACCTCATGCAAGAGGCCCTGTGCAGACTGGCCCTGGATCACCATGACCAGGTGGATGCCCACGAGGCTGGGAACGCAGCTCTGTCTGCTCCCAGGCAACAGCTCTATGTTCCTAGGGTCCTGAGCAAGGACGTGCCCTTCACCAGCACTAAGGGAGACTTGGGTACAAGGGCCAGAATGTGGCAGAAAAAAGGCCAGTACATGGCTGCGCCTGGGAAAATAACTCATGGTCGCAGCATGACCACTCTCAGGAAGGACGCCATGGTCCTGTGGACTTGGTTTCCAGCCCTTCAGGAACTTGGAAACAGCTTCCAAAGGACGAGGTGACAGTTAGGGCTAGGCCACCTAAACCCACAGTGATCTTTAGCTGATACTTCTGAGCAAGGGAACCAAGTGAAAAAGTTAAGAGGAAATGTAGAAAAGAACAAAAACATGCTATGTGAGTACCTTTCATTTTTTGTATTAATATCAAAATGAGTTTGACTTGCTAACAAGTAAGAGCCCATCCAAGAAGGCCCTAGAGACATCGGCAGTAATCAGAGTAAATTCATCACACTAATCAGAATGATAATCCGCCCGGGGCAATGGAAGGTTGGCAAGGACTGCACTGTCCTAGCATTCTTCTGAAGTACAAGGCGAGTAAGAAGACCGTCCCCCAGGGTCAGCCGGCCCCAGGAGCACGCAGCAGTGGAGGCGGCCTGCGTTCTAGGCTGGATTCAGCCACCAACTAGGTGCCAGATCTGAAGATCACCTTAGGAATCTGGACCTCATTTCCAGAACTTGAAACGAGCCTGCGATTTAGAGCAATTCTGCTGGTGGAAACAGCATGCTATACCCTCAGGCACCAAGCACAGCGACCTTTCCAGGCAGAAGTGGCATTCGCTGCACTGGCCAGCCCCTGGTGGGCACGCACTCACCACACAGGGCTGTGCCAAGGCAGGCCAGGCCAGCCCCTCACCTGCAGCTGGGCGGCGCAGCTCTCGCAGCACACGGTGTGGCCGCAGGGGCAGAAGGTGGAGTCGATGTCCTCCTCGCAGCACACCATGCACAGCATGGCTTCCTTGAGCTTGCGCAGCTTCTCCTGCAGCGCCCGGGTCTGCTGGCAGCTGAAGCCCTCGCAGCTGCTGCAGTTCATGCTGCTCTCTGAGGACTTCAGGGGAGAGCTGGGGGGGCTCTGGTCACTCCTGGAAATGAGGTCCACAACGCCAGCGTTGTACAGAGCCCTCCTGGCGTGGTCGTACACCTCCTTGGATGTTCTTTTAATATCGAAGACATACTTCTTGCCGAGGTTAATGTTTTCGTTTAGAAACAGAGATGCCAAGTGGCCCTTCAAGTCACGACTGTACTGCATCATGACGGCGCTGGTCACTGTGTCACACCTGCGAGGACAGATGGAACATCTGCTTTAATGCCCAAGAGCCAGGGCAGATCCATAACAGACCTCCTGACGCTGCTGCCAATACAAAGGTCGTGTCCACAGACATTTGGCGCAGGCCTGGGAGCAGGTTCTTCCCTCGCTGTGCGTGCCAAACAGCCCAACGACTCCACCTCTGTACTGTTCAAGTCCCTCCTGTGAAGTACCCAGCAATACGGAGCAGTGACCCTCTGCTCTGTCTCCAGGGCATGAGCTGCAGTCCACAGCAGCTTGAGGAAGAGAAAGGACATTTGTCTTTGAAGCGTTTGCTTTTGTGTTTAAAATGCCGACAATTTGTCCATTCTGCTCCACAATCTGTAGGTCTGTTTTAAAATAAAATATTTTAAGGCTTTCTACCAATTAAATTTTTTTGGCTTCACTTTTCCGGATATTTTAGTCCAATCACAACTTGGCTTCAAAATACCCTTTAGAATGAGGGGATCGATATTGTTATTAAAAAATCCTCAGTGTGTCGGTAGTGAGGACTCTGGGCAGGACCTCTCCCGGGAGGGCAAGACGACCTGTCATCCTTCTGCCAAGAAAGAATAAAGCTGTGGCAGAACAGGCCCAGGTGCCCAGTGCCCCTCAGGAGAGGGGTGGGGAGGAGAGGAAGGGGAGAGAAGTAGGAGAAGCTGCGCAGCCCACGCGGATGCACTTTCTGTGGGGAAATGGAACTATATTGATAAGGACTCCAGTCACTCCATTGTGACTGTGACCACAGAGACAAGATGTCCCAAAGCATTCCCACTTCTTCAATTTGTACAAGATGAAACCACAGAAAGCCATGTGTCACCTAACGTTCCCGAAGCACAGAGCCAGCTCTCAAGTGCCCCGTGGTACTTGCCTGTAGAACGCGTGCGTCTCGGTGATTGCTCGGTAGAGGCCACTGGCCGCCCTGGTGCTGATCATTTTAAACAGGAGCACAATGCTGTTCCCAGACTCCTTGGTGACTGTCAAGTACACGTTCTTTCCTGACTGGGTAGCCATCTGCACCACAGGGTAAGCTATCCTAAGAGACAGGAAGACAGAGTGAGCAGGCCCAGGAGGAGCCTCAGGAGGGTCCCCGTTTGCCCACGACGCAGCAGGAAAATCAGACATTCAATCTGGAACAACCCCATCACCTTTGTTCCTAACACCCAGGCAGGCCAGAAGGCAATCCCGCAATGTGAAATACTGGAGCAGGTTTTGGGTGTGGGACTGGAAGAGATTTTCATGGCAGTGAACTTATTTGAAAAACACTACCACATAAACACACTGTGGGTCAACACCAATTAAATGGCCATTAAGACCTGAGAAATTAATGTGAAGACCCCAGTGGAACATCTCCTTCCTCAGAGAGGACTGCCTGCCTCGTCCCTCCCTATCTCCTGTTTTCATGTCGAGAGCTGCAATGCGCACAGATGCCTGGTTACCTATTAATGGGGCTGAAGTCTTCCTTGCAGACTGAGATTCCCTCGGGTCCCACCCCAATGAGGAGCTTCTGCCCTTCGCTGTCCCTCACAGCGTGCCACTCTATGCCGTAGTTCTCCATGGCAGACACGATCTGCAGAACCTGGTACTCGGCCGAAGCCTGGCTGGTGCCCTCCAGCTCCTTGTGCTTTGCAACGATGCTGCAGAACAAGAGAAGGTGGGGTTACCCAGAGGGACACATCCAAAGACCAACCTGGACAATCTTCACTAGTACAGGACATGTCGTCGTCATTTGTGAGTCACAAAACCATCAACTATATATTATTGATATTTCATTTATTTAGCAAAATTACCACATAAAATACTTCTAAGACACTGTTCAAGATAGAAACCATCATCTGTTCAGTCGAGAACACTTTGGGGGATGTTGGATAAGGATGAATTGAAAGATTTATGGAAAATCTCTAAAAACATACATAAGAAGGATTTATGTGTGGACCTCCTCATGCCTTTGTCTAATATACTTCATAAGCTTCACTAGACTCTGGCATTACATGGGATCGATTAGATCATCTGCAACTGAAGGAAATGAGTGCTATTGCCTCTTTGTGGCAGAAGAGCCTCTCAGGTGGCCCTTGGTGGTCCTGCCTCCTCACACCCTTGAGTGTGGGCTGGATTCACAACTGGCTGCTAATGAACAGAATCCGGAGAACTCATGAAATATGACTCACTCTGAGATCAGCCCTCCCTGAGCTCAGGGGGCAAGGGAGGGAGGCTGGCCAGCACACCACAGGGGCTGCCTGGAAGTGGGTCCTCCCTCAGCTGAGCCTTCACAGGACTCGACTCCAGAAGCCTGAAGGCAGCCCATGAGAGCTCAGGACCCCTGGGACCCAGGGGCTCCATGGCTACATTCCCAAACTGGACACTTTCAGTCACAGAGATAATGCTGTTGTTTTAAGCCACCAAGTTTGGGGGTCCCTTGTCATGCAGGAATAGGTAACTAAGATGCCCATCTGGACTCTTGATTTCATTCTTGCAGGGATGGACAAAACACCAATACACATGATAGACTTTCCATTGTAGGAGACCTAAGTTCTTAAAAAGCCAGATGTTTAAGAAATTCTCATGATGTATAACATTTCATATAAAGGCATTTGCTTGAATAAACTGTTTTGTGTTTGTACATTTCTGAAAGAAACAGCTAATGAATCTTCTGAAGACACCCGGCTAGAATGTGCAATGCCCCGCAACCTCACAAATGATCTGCACCACAGGTGCTCTCTTCTCGGATATTCTTGTCAAGTTGAGAGCCTGGGCCCTCCACGTTGGCCCGGGCAGCCTCACCTGTTCAACGCAGCACTGGAGAGCTCCTTCGCACACAGCTCCTCGTAGTTATACTTGGCAGTGTTCTGGTTATAGTCCCCAAACTTGGTCTGGGCCAGGAGGGCACTGAGTTCCACAGCCTGCTCTGGGGAACACTGGAGGTGGCCTGCCAAGAGCGACTCCTTGATGTGCAGGAAAAAGATGTGCCTGTAAAGGAAGGTTCGAACGAGGTCAGACTGGGGAATAACTGGACATCAAACCCAACCTGCTGGGCGGGGTGGGGGGGGGGGCGGCGGCTGAGCGGTGCAGCACTTGCCTGGCAAGTAGGAGGCCCTGGGCCCCATCCCCAGTACCACAGAAAACAGACACAAGGACAAATACAACCTGTGGAGCAATTACACAGTCAAGTACTCACCTTTTAAGGAAAGAAAACATCAATTTAGAAAAATCACACTGAATACACTTACCATGATAAAGCCCCTTTTAATCATGAACATTAAGAGAAAATAACATTAAGACGAACTTTCTTTGGATAAAAATTGTAACCTAAACAGGTTATCTAACAAAGACAAGTTCAGTAGCAGTCAGGTCACAACATGTAAAATACTTATACACAAGTTTCTGCACTGTTTTAAAATAAATAATCTTCATCAGAAAAACTATCTTGAAATGAATTCTGATATAATCTTAAGGAATTTTTAAAGAAGAATGAGCCTCAGCTCACTCACACAACCCTCATTTCCAAGAATCATACCTGCCCCCCAGACTTCACCTGGGAAGTTCATTAGCATCTCAAGTTCGGCTCCTTGGAAATCAAGCTCACTCTTCCTTCCAGTAGGTCCAGACTCACATTTACCAAACCTCCCACCTCCACCTATCTAATAGTCTCCGAGAGCCCTTTAGACCAGTTCCATCATCCATCGTCCCTTGTGCCTCCTCAGCCATCAGTCCTGTTCGCAGCTCTCAACCACAGAGCTTCCCACCCTCACGGCTTCCTCCTCCAGACTCTGCCAGCCCCCCTTGCAGGCTGCCATTTCTCTGCTCTGATCCTTCAAGGGGTCCCCACTGTCTGCAAAGGAAGCACCATAGTGGCCTGAAACCCAGCCTCCTCCGCTGTGCCCAGCTTTCCAGCCACAGATGTTATCATGTCCTCCAGCAGCTGTGCCCAGGAAAGGGACAATTCCTGTGCTTAGGAACCCTGGTCTTGCTGTTCCCTCTGTCCTGGCTGCTCTTCCTGGATACCTGGGGTCGATGTTGGATATACACCATCTCTTCCTGTCACAGGGCTGGGTGTATGGTAACTGTTGGCAGGGTTTAGACAGCTGCACGAAGTTGACTTCAAAGAGCTCCACAGGCACAGGTACAGCTGCAGGTATCTGTGATTATTTGATGTCCCAACCTTAGTTTTGTTCTGTTTGAGCCTGGCCTAACTGTGCACGATACCAGTCTACATGATCAAAAGGCTTGTCCATCACACTTACAAAGTCCTGGGGAAATTAAGATTACAAACTCCTGGGAAATTAAAATTTTATTCATATTGCCCAAAATTCTGGAAAGAGTCTCTACGCTTTCATAGAAAAGGTTGGCCTAAGTTACAAAATTTGTCCCCAGCAATGTGGTGCCCTAACCTTACTTAGATGACTTGTGGTTGCCTCTGAAAAGTGCTTAAATGCCACAAACCCCTCCCATTAATAAGTGAGTCATGGCCGCTGGTAATGCTTAGGCACCAGGTAAGCTCAGTCCCCCCTCCACCGAGGGTGACAGCCTTCCTCCAGCCCCACGGCTGGCTGTCTGCTCATGCACGCCTCCTGTGCGAGACATTCCAGGCAGAGGAAGAGGAGGAAAGAGAGCTTCAAACATGAGGAGCCCCAAGATGTCAGGTTGACAGAGCCACCATCTGCCTTAACATTCAAATCCAATCTTTCGTGCCTTTAATGATAACAAAATATTTAAGATGATCAAACTCTGCCAAGTACTGCAGTTTTCTCCTTACTCAAAGCCCTCGTAAAGACACCACAGTAAGAATGCACAACAGCACTGAAAGAGGGTAAACATGGTTTTTATTAACCCAAACATCTGTTAGTCTTTAAAGTATTTCTGACATACTGCTACACTGAGAAGGGCCCCTGCTGAGGCAAAGAAATCACACACACAAAAAAACCCAAAACCTGGCTTTAAAATAGCGGGTCCCAGCATTCCCACAAAACCCTGAGTCACAGCACTGCTCCAGCCCTCGGAGGGCTTTCAGATGGCCCTGGGTAGACTTCATCTTGCTAACATACCTGTCTGTCCATCAGGGAGCGCTTTTAGGAAACTACCGGCTGAATGTAGGTTCCAGAAGAAATTATGTGAGAAAAGATTTGAAGGTTAGCACTGCCAACCAAGTCTTCTCAATCAATCACGGCTTTCGTAAAGGCCTCTTTGAACTTATTTTCCTGGTATAAAATTAGAAACTACTTCCTGTCTTATGAAGTAGAAAGTATAGCCTGCAAAAGGAGAGCTTCAAACTTGATTCCATTTCTTTTTCTAAACTACCCATGCCAACTTCTAGAGAGAGCTGCCAAGTTGGAGGCCAAGCAGCAGTAAGTGACCAGATATCAACAGGGCAGCAGCCTGACAGGAATGCTGGTCCTTTCTCGTATATGGGTCAGAAAAAGACAAAGGTGGGGGCGGCGCTGTTTCCTACACACAGTCCAGGCTGCACGTGAGCACACCTGGTAAGCACGAAAGCCTTCCTTGCTGTCGACAGCCTTTCTACCTGGCCCTTCCTGCATCTTGCCGTTTCATAGCTGCAAAGCCACCTTTTCATCAGATTTGTCACACCCTGCCTGTGCCCAGCCCTGGGCCAGGGTTACAGAATGGACACTTCTAAAGGAACTTACAGCTTTTAGAGCAGAGCCACAAACTGGCCACTGGGTGACAAGGGTTCACTCTCAGGACAGTACCCAGGGTGGGGGAGTGTGTGCGGGGGAGGGGGTGGCAACCAAGGTCAGCAGCTAGGAGGAGCCATCAGGAGACTGCAGGAAGGAGGAGGGAGAGCTGACCCGCGTTTCCAGTAAGGAATTCCGTGACAGCTCAAGAGGTTAAGAGTGCCTTTGACTCAGGCTTTTGCTCCCATTATCTTCCCCTCTGCCATCTGGCCTGGAAGGTCTGGCTGGCTCCTGGATTTTGCCCTCTCCTTTTTTTTTGGTGAACTGGGTGAAAGGTTACCAATAACATCAAAACAAGCAGATGCAGTCAAAGAAGTCATGTCTGCAGTGATTTTTTTTTTTTTTAAACAAAAGACTGAAAGTGATGACATGTTTATTCAACATAGAGGACACCCTAGACCACAACAGAAAGAAAGCCTCTGAGAAGAGACAACGTTCTTCGACACAAGCAAGCACATGTGAACGTGTCCTGTGAATATAGAAGCTCAATGGCATTTTAAAAATTTTCTTGGTGTTCTACTTTGAAATTCATTCTGTAAGTTTTACTAGTCACTAAGAAAATTGATATTTTCAATATATGGGCCACATTTCGGAGCGCAGGGTGAAACATTCTGGTTAATCCATGCCTGACATCATGTTTACAAATGAATTCACTCTTCTCCAGCATTATGGAAGGTTGGTGGGGGTGAATATAAAGATATGTTCGATTTTAATTTAGGATCATACAGTGTTATGTTTTTATTTCAAATAACTGTAAATTGCCTCCTTTTAAAATTAATGCCTTTGATAGTGTTAAGAAATAAAGTTAAATCATTTATCTTTCAAGAGTGTCTAACCAGAGAACTCTGCTGCGAACACTGGCTATCCCTAAAGCAATCACCAGGTCCCCAGAGCAGAGCTTTCTACAACCCAATTGGGACTCTGCGTGTGCTGGGGCCGAGGCTACTCTGAGGCCACTCTGTTCCACCCTCTAGTTATATTACAGCATTCTGAAGAGCTTCTCAGGACAAGTATAAAATAATCACATCCAGGCGCATTATTACACTCAGAATTAAGTAACTAACCAAAAACTTCTTTAAAAGAGGCTAGGTAGCTATCTTTAAAAGCTCAGTTTCCAGTAACTGAACTGTATTTCTCCCTGAGAACCACCACTGACCCTGGCTGTGTCCAGACTGTCCCTCTCTCAGTCAGACCCCACCGCAATCCCACCTCCCACACCCCCATCCAATGACTCACTTAACCACATCAGTTTATTTTACACCAAACTCTAACTGCCAAGTTATATTTTTAAATTATTAAATCAAAACAGAATTGCTATGAGTTTTTTTTTTTTTTTTTCATTTTCTATCTTAGAACAGAACAGAAATCAGTTCAAGATGGATCTCAGGCCTGCACGTAGAAGCCCAACTGTAATGCTATGAGAGCTAAGCATAAGAGAATCTTCATGACTGGGGGATGGCAAAGGTTTCTTAGGACATGTCAGCAAACATCACAGAAGAGAAAAAAATGGGTAAATTAGACTTCATCCCAGTTAAAAACTCCTACTCACCAAAAGGCATAGGAAAATAGGCAAGCCACAGAGAAGACATATTTTTAAAAGTTATATCTGACAAATGACTGATTGAGAACACATAAAGAAATTGTACATTTTGAAAATAAAAGCCAACAATAAGAATGGGTACATGACTTGAATAGATACATCACAAAGGAAGACTCAGGATAGGCAAATAAGTACATGAAAATGATTAACATCATTAATCAGAGAAATGCAAATTAGAACTACAGCACTCTACCACTACATGCTCAGAGAAAGGCTGGCCAGGACGTGGAGAAGCCTGAGTCCCCTCTGCTCTTCAAGTGAGAATGCTCTGGGGAAAGGCCTGGCCGTTACATATAAAACCAAACAATTACCTCCTCTATGACCCAGCTACTCTGTTCTTAGGTATTTATTCAAGAGAAATGAAAACACATGTGTCTACAAAAAAATAACTCTGTACTAGAATGTTCATAGCAGCTTTGCTCATGGAAAAACAGGTGTTCATCAATAGCAGTATGGATCAACAAACAGTAGCACATTCGTAAAACGGAGTACCATCCACCAATAAAAAGGGATGATCTGCTGATACACACATCAATATTGACAGATCTAAAAGAATACATGACAAACAAAAGACCGAGACACAAGAGCACATACTGGGCTGGGGAAGCCGCTTAGTGGCAGAGAGCCTGCCTGGCCCGTGTAAGGTCCTGGGTTCAATCCCCAGAACTGCAATAGAA